GCTGAAATGTTGACCTATGATCTCATCTTTAATGATGTTTATGCCTCACAGGAATAAGGCTAGCACAGTAGTCCAGCAAACTCATTAGTTAACAGAACCAAATATCAATAGTACAATGATTAAAATTTCTTTTGAGAGCCAAATTTTTTAAACTTAAACTATATAGATAGGTACATTATTATTAACTTAATTAGGATATTTCTAAGCTGGCGTTTGCTAAAAACTCAAGGGACCAAAGAGCTGCATGTGGCTCGAGAGCTGCAGTTTGCTGACCACTGGGCTAGCATATTTAGGGGATTGGGGGGTGGGGTGGTGGTGAAAGGATTAAGAAGTACAAAATAGCAGTTATGACCCAGCTGGTGTAGCTCAGTGGTTGAGCATTGACCTATGAACCACATGGTTTAATTCCCAGTCATGCTCAGATTGTGGGCTCAATCCCTGATGGGGGGAAGGGGGCATGCTGGAGGCAGCCAATCAATGATTCTCTGTCATCATCAATGTTCCTATCTCTCTCTCCCTCTCTCTTCCTCTCTGAAATCAAATATATATATATATATATATATATATATATATATATATATATACTTTTTTTTTAATGAGCAGTTATGAAAGTTATGGGAATGTAAAGTGCAGCACAGGGAATATAGTCAATAATATTGTAATAGCTATGTATAATGCCAGGTATGTACTGGAAATATCAGGAGGAGCATCTTTTAAACTATATGATTGTCTAATCACTATGCTGTACACCGGAAACTAATACAAAATAATGATGAATGTAAACTGTAATTTAAAAAATAAAATTTACCTCTGGCTGGTGTGGCTCAGTGGTTGAGCATTGTCCTGTGCATCAAATGTTCAATTCCCAATCCAGGTATGTGGGAGAGGCCACCAATCAATATTTCTCTCTCTCCCCCTTTCTTTCTCTCTAAAAATCAGTAAGACATATTTTTAAAAAAGAAAGTAAAATAAAATTTACATTAAAAAAATAAAAGAAGGTATTTTGGTTGCGGGAAAAGGGAAGGCTGGCATAACTGATAGATAATGAATCAAACACTGTCCTATTTTAGGGCGAAAAGGGCAATTAGATAATCTCTTGGTTCAGGAAATAGTTCAAGAAAGAGATACAGCATATATAAAATACCACTTAGCATTTGTTGAGAAGCAAATCCATCCAAAATTTTAAACATTAATTTATCATATACACACACACACACACACACACACACACATACACACAGTATAATCCCACTCTTACATGGATATTGGTAGAGTCCACTTTGACACTGATATTGAGAAACTCGTGCTTGAGAACAGAGTAATTTGATACTTATTGCTTTTTCTTTTCATTTTTAAGATACTTTTCTTAGGCTATTTCTCCCCTCTTAAAAAAATGTAATATTTTCCCACATAAACACATGTAAAGTTGAGAAACGAGTGAAAATTAGGCTGAACTATGTATACTACCGTAGAGTAAGTTACCTTTTTTTTTTTTTTCTTTTTTTACCTTTTTCTCATATAGTTTGGAATTCACGTTCTCTCTGCTTTACTAACATACTACTGGTAGGAAAAATAAAAAAGTAAAGTACCTTGACATTTTTAGTTTCTTAAATGGCATATATTTTCAATTGGAAATACCTATGTAGTTTCCTCTTATCTCAAATTCTTCCACTGCCTTCCCGGAAGGCTTGAGCCCAGTCCCAGATACCAGAATCAACCCTGACTGGGTAAGGAGTGGCAGTGCAACTTAAATGGTTATAATGTCTCAATATCAAGTCAAATCTCACACTGACTTTTTCCCGAGTTTCAGTAACCGGCCTTCAGCCTACCACAATTCTGGAACCAAATTCCCATCTTGATTATTTTCCTCATACCTAATTGTTCTTTCTAACAAGTCTTTCATTCTACACATTAAAAGCTTGTTCCTGTACCCCAGCCTCATTATCAGCTGGCAAGTTAACCTACCTACAACTAATTGGGTACCTGTTTGGATCTGTAATGTTATTTGCTTCTAGATTTCTCACTACCCTGCTCCTCCCCTGATATGGCTGTCTTATGCTAGTGATGCAAGCTACTTGTCTTGACTGCCAGCTGCTTTCTGACCCATGTGCCCCCCTGTGTACCATGTCCTACCTGGCTGAACATCCTCCAATCACCTCTAGTTAAGTTTACCTTAGCCTCTGTCTGTCCTATCACAGTCACAAAATGTAACTTAAAGAATTAAAATTTATCCAATCTAAGAAAAGAGTAATATGCAAATTGACCATCACTCCAGTACACAAAATGGCGGCCCCATGTGGTCAAAGATGGCTGCCCCATGGGGACATAAGATGGCTACTACAAGATGGCCAGCAGGGAAGGGCAGTTGGGAGGGCCAGGTCTGCAAGGGAGGGCAGTTAGGGATGACTGGGCCAGCAGAGAAGGGAAGTTTGGGGCAACCAGGTCTTCAAGGATGGGCAGTTGGGGGGGGGAGGGACCTAGGCCTGCAGATGAGAGCAGTTGGGGATGACCAGGCCTGCAGGGGAGAGTATTTAGGGGTGACCAGGCCTGTAGGGGAGGGCAGTTAGTGTGACCAGGCCTGCAGGGGAGGTCAGTTAGGGGCAATCAGGCTGACAGGGGAGCAGTTAGGCATCAATCAGACTGGCAGGCAGAAGTGGTTAGGGGCAATCAGGAAGGCAGGCAGGTGAGCAGTTGGGAGCCAGCAGTTCTGGATTGTGAGAGGGATGTTAGACTGCCCGTTTAGGCCTGATCCTACCGAAATCTCTCAAGATTGGAGAGGGTGCAGATTGGAGAGGGTGCAGGCTGGGCTGAGGGGCGCACAACCCCATGCACAAATTTCATGTATCGGGCCTCTAGTATAAATATAAGGCAGCCTGATTTTGACACATCAAAAGCATAAAATTAGGGATATAAGATTTTGAAATAAACTACTATGATCTCTACATATAACTTAGAAAGTCTTAATGGAATGACAGATTGTGCTTCTTAATATGGGCAGCTAACAAAGACTTGTGTGACTTTGCCACTCATGGATTAGTAAATTTGCTGAGTTGAAAAGAGATCTGTGATGATTCTTGGAATTAATATAGATATTTTAGAAAGGAGGAGTTTAAAAAGTTTAGGACTATCACTACTCATAGAAGTGAAGATGGTTCTTTATTCATAGTAAACTGAATCTTGAAGTTTACCCAACATTGACACAGGCTTTATATGCCATCTCAGAGTTTTTCAAACTTCTGATGAAGACCGGACAGACAGTAAATGTTTTAGACTCTGTTTCATTGACCCAACTCTGCCACTGTGGCTTAAAAGTCATACACAATAAGTAAATAAATTCCTGTAGCTGTGCTACAATAAAACTTTATTTATGAACACTGAAATAAAAATTTTATACAATTTTCATGTCACAAAATAGTCTTCTTTTGATGTATTTTCAACCACTTTAAAATGTAAAAACCACTCTTAACTCAAGGGTCATCTAAAAAACAGATGGTGGGTCAAATTTGGCCCACCTGCTTGGGTTGTAATTGCCATCTTCTGTTCTAGTTTAATGCATATCTCCGCAGGCTTCCAGCATGTATGTTGTAGGTGGGTGGTTGAGGTAAGAAAGCTAATTTTTCACATAGTCAAGAATATACTCTTCCTTATTTTTTTAAAAAAGCTTTTATATTTTTTAAGTATGCAGAGTTTTGCTTGATTAGTTAGCAGTTTAAGTCCTCCATTAGGGAAATAGAGAACTTTTTTAATACTCTTGGTTTTTATCAAATAACTAAAATGAAGATGGGAAGTAGCCAATGGATTATCTCTAAGCCTAAACAAGACAAACAAAAGCTTGGGAAAGAGAAAGAACTCTTGAAAAATGAAGTAGAGTCTTGGAGAAGCTATTTCCAACTGTCCTACTCTGGTTGGGTTCCCAAATGGTTAACATTTGATTATAGAGTCACAGTACCTCCAGGTAACAAGGGACATGAGGGAGTAGTAGAAGTGAAACATTGCTCTCATTTATTTAGTAGCCACCTTGTAAATAAATACCAGTGCATCAGAGCTCCATTGCTAAAAATAGCAGCCATGGAGTTGGAAGACTTTTATTATGAGGACAAGTAAGCATAGGGGTAGAAGTATAGCAGATCATTAGTTTCTATAATAGAGAAGATTTCTTTTTACTTACAAATAATACCCTCGATTACAACTTGTCTGGTAGGTTCTGGGTCTTCATATAAAATCATAGACAGGAAAAAAAAATTAAATGGATGGAGACAGGATCACAAAACAGATCCAATTTTTCTTCTCCCGGTGCCCTCCTGACTTGTCACTGTCTTCTCTCCCCCTTTCAGATTCATGTCACAGCCTTCTTATATCCATTTTATCCTGTCCCTCCTTCCTCAACTCCCTGGCTTCTTCTCCTCCATCCCGTTTTATAGCTTTTGGGAATCTCCCTTTCTTTTTGCTCTTCCCCTTGTGGCATCTATTATACTAAAACCTTAGCGAAGCGATGTATGTTCTGAAACTTCTGTGGGTTTCTAAGTGACGCTGAGCATGCTCAGTGGCCGGGGCAGGTTTTGTTGCCAGCAGCTGCCCTGATTCGACCTCTCCAAAAATAGACATTTAACTAGCTGAACTCCAGTTTAGGGATGTAATTCATTTTGCTCTCTCCTCATTTTAAAGGTTCCAAGGGAAGCAGCGAGGATTCCAAGGTCCCACCGCCCTCCCAGCCAATGAGGGGTCTGAGAGGGAGGAGCGTGGGGCGGCTCCGTGCAGCTTGAGCTTCTGAGCGAATCATCCCCAGTAGATGCAGTGGAGACTGAGCTCGGGTGCATCTGTCACAGCAGAACAAAATTAAAACAAAACAAAACAAACAAACAAACAAAAAAAGCAGAGAAGAGCAGAAACGCTGCAGAGTATGGAATGCTGTAGAACTTTCTGAAATATTTGCTGGGGATTCCCGCGGAGCATGATCTTTTAAACTCTCCTCTTTGAAGCTGGTTTAGGTAACTGGGAAAATGATACATATGCTAAATGCAGCAGCGGATCGAGTGAAATGGACCAGATCCGGTGCTGCTAAAAGGGCTGCCTGCCTGGTGGCTGCCGCATATGCAATGAAAACCCTCTATCCCATCATTAGCAAGCATTTAAAGCAAACTGGCCACAGGAAGAAAAAAGAAGCTCGCGGGGCTGCAGAGGACAGAGAAACACTGCATTGCACCGAGATTACTCGTAAAAAACCTTCCCCCGGAGTGAATGCAGATTTTTTCAAACAGCTCCTAGAACTTCGGAAAATCCTCTTTCCAAAACTTGTGACCACTGAGACAGGATGGCTCTGCCTCCACTCGGTGGCTCTCATCTCAAGAACCTTTCTGTCTATCTATGTGGCTGGTCTGGATGGGAAAATTGTAAAAAGCATTGTGGAAAAGAAGCCTCGGACTTTCACCATCAAATTGATCAAGTGGCTCCTGATTGCCATCCCCGCCACCTTTGTCAACAGTGCAATAAGGTACCTGGAATGCAAGCTGGCTTTGGCCTTCAGAACTCGCCTCGTAGACCATGCCTATGAAACCTATTTTGCAAATCAGACATATTATAAAGTGATCAATATGGATGGGAGGCTGGCAAACCCTGACCAGTCGCTTACTGAAGATATTATGATGTTCTCCCAGTCTGTGGCTCATTTGTATTCCAATCTGACCAAACCTATTTTAGATGTAATTCTGACCTCTTACACCCTCATCCAGACTGCTACATCAAGAGGTGCAAGCCCAGTGGGACCCACCCTCTTAGCAGGGCTTGTGGTATATGCCACTGCTAAAGTGTTGAAAGCCTGTTCTCCCAAGTTTGGTAAACTGGTGGCCGAAGAAGCTCATAGAAAAGGCTATTTACGGTATGTGCACTCCAGAATTATAGCCAATGTTGAAGAAATTGCCTTTTACAGAGGACATAAGGTAAGAGAACTTAAGGTGATGGGTGAAATGTGAGCGTGTTCAAGCTGCCACTTCAGTGCTAGATACCATCTGTTGTACTATGGATGGACCCACTTCTTTAGCGTTTTAGATTCCTGTAACATCTTAAACCTTCATTAAAATACATGCCTCATTACCCTGTTTAATGACAAGCTGTTAAAAAAATTATAGAGTGCAAACTTTTCTAAAGTTTCATGAGAATAAAATAGCACTGCAGAAAATAGTCTGCTTCACCCCTCTTACTCAAGCATGCTCAGAATTATCTCGAAAGCATTTTCTTAAAACTTAAATCCTCAGTTAGTTGGTGGTTCTACAGAATCATAGAAAATATATGTTTAGAAACTAAGTGAACACATTTCTATTGAGATGGAAAATTTAGGGTGGTATTTAGTTGTTGTGTATCAGGGTGGGGGTGGGGAGAACATGCTTTCATATAAAAAACAAGTTTGATAGTTTTGCATGTCTGGTCAGTGATGGACTGTTCTAAGTCTTAAGAAATTCAGAGAAGTGTGTCACACCAATGCTTTTCCATTATTCTTAGTACCATATTTTGACACAAATAAAAAGAGGCAGTGAAATGAAATGTCTAACTTTGATAGAAAAACTAGGATTAGAAATGAGTAGGAGAAAAGGAGTTCCAGAGTGTTATTTTAAATATTGGAGATTTTCCACCTTAAGCATATCCCTAAAATAGTTAGCCTAATTACCTAAAATTGCAGTGCATGTCAGTAACTTCATAATATTAAATATGGAAGAAATTTTAAGGTGATGTATCTGAAATCCTAATACAAATGCCTGGCAAATAAAATATTAAGGTATTCTAAAGTTGAATTGGTATTTTAATTACCAGGCAAAATTATTTAATTTTTGAAGCATCATCAATTATCAAAAAAAAATTTATAGCAGTATCAATCTGAAGAAGAAACTTTAAAGAACTTCTACTCCCACTTGAAGTTGTCCTCATATGTTGTATTAATCATATTGATGTGTCAGTCTTCTTGACTCATTGAATTCAATGATGTAAATTATATCATGCTCTAGGCTTCTTGAATTTAAGACAAAATCCATTAAATTAATTCAAAACTGGAGTCTAATTACACATATATGCATCATGTACTTATTTTCAGATAGTTTGGCATAATCAAGAAAGATAAGGTTCTAACTTTGTTTATTCATGTCTTACAAAATATTTGGTTTAAATATCTCATACATATAATTTTTAAATCATGCTGATAAATCACTTATATATATTTTACACTTACATATTTATACTTAGCATTATTTACTGAGTATTGTTTTTTTTAATATTACAGGTATGATGAAGCTAAACAATAATGTCTAAATCTTACATAAATCTGTATTTATTGGTTGTTAGGATCATAGATACTAAATACTAAATAAAGCAAGTTAATGTATAATTTATCTTTAAAGTCCTCAAGCATACAATATTTATTTTGAAAGCTCATGCCAAGTTAATTCTTAACTCTTTTTCTCTCTATAGGTGGAAATGAAACAACTTCAGAAAAGTTACAAAGCTTTAGCAGATCAGATGAACCTCATTTTATCCAAACGTCTGTGGTACATTATGATAGAGCAGTTCTTGATGAAGTATGTTTGGAGTGGCAGTGGACTAATTATGGTGGCTGTACCTATTATCACTGCAACAGGCTTTGCAGATGGTGGTAATGGCATTTATGCTTAATCTCAAATATATGTTTAAGGTTATTCCTCTTGAAAGTATTACTGCTTGTTTTGTGTGAGTGAAACTGTATGTAGCCATTGTTCTATAGTCCTTAATAGTCAGAAACAATGGAGGACTTTGCAATGTTCAAAGATAAGACTAGCAATATGAAAAAAAAAAAGAGACCAGTTGCTCAAAAGACCTTTCCAGTTCTGAAATATTTCAGAGATCTCTGATGCAGTGTTTCTGGGAGTTGAACTTGATCAATTTTAATTATACTGCCTTATATAAAATAATTCTCTAGTTTAACATTTAAACTCAAAACAAACTACCTTCAAAAAGAGTATAAGTTTTCTCATTGCCAACTTCAGTTGTGCACATTTAATCTATACGTATTCTATAACTGGCTCTGCCCTAATTTTATTTTAAAAGTTAGGCAATCAAGAATACTGTTTCATGAAGTGCTTCATGCCACAATACAAAGTCTGCTCTACTTGTAGGTAATATAGATAACCTTCTATGTAGCATGATTTAGTGGTGTTGTGGGGGGAAGGGTTTACAAGTTGCAAGTGTCTAGCCTATCACCATCTCACTGGTTTTTGTCAACATTGTCATCCTTTGGAATAACAAAGAAAGATAAGGGCAAAAGGGACTTAAAATGTTGTGTCTTACTTGATTGAGGTGGGAGTTTGGATCTTAATTGGCAGGGAGATAGGAGAATTAAAATAAAGAAGCAGCATTTCCTGTCTTTCTGAAAAATATAATATACCCCCTCCTTTCTGAAAACCACTTGACTAAGTTGGCCTTAGAGTTGAAGGAGCCTGGGCTTTACAGTAAGACAGAGCTTTTCTCAACCTCTGGATTTCCCTCTACCTGCCCTTATATGTTAATCATATAAATCAGACTCTCCAAACCTCAGTTTCCTTATCTATAAAATGATAACCAGAAAGGCTACTTCGGAGGGTTGTTGAGAGGATTTAATGGAATCCATGTTTTGAAAGACAGAGCATGCTCTGGATGATCTCAATTCAGAGTGACATTTATTATATAAAAAACAAAAGTCAACACTAAAAATAATATAATGGAATTCACACTATTATGTGGTTATTTTTGATGTAGTTATTTGTTTTATAAGGCATCTAATAAAAAGGAGTAAAAAATTACCACATGCTTTAACTGTACCTAAATTAACCAGTTCTTATAAAACACTTGTCACATTGGAGGCATTTTTAACCTATAATTGTTCATTTTAATAATTAGAATTTGTCAAACCTTTGTGATAATGCTATACATATACCAAATTCAATACATACACTTCACAATTCAAGAGTAGACACTATGTTTAGACCACTGGGAAATGGAATTTTAACTGTTTTCATATTTTCAAAATTTATTTTTAAAATATCATTTAAAAAGCTTATATTGAAAAGTTATTATTAAGAGTATTTTTAAACTAAATCTTTTCATAATTAAATAAATTGCTTTTTTAAGAGTATTAAAGAAAAAAAGACACTTAAAAAAAACCTATGGCCTTCAGATCAGTTTTATTAAGAAATTTGTCAAAATTGTCAGATATTCATGTTATATTGAATCCTTTATATTAAAAGATTCCCTCTAAGTATATGGATATTTTTAAAGTTTCATATATAATGTATACTAGCAGCAACCCCAATTATAATATTATGGTATAGTTCTGTTAGTCCTTGGAAGCATTGGTCTTGTTAGAAAACCCTGGAGTAAACATAGAACAGAGAAAATGAAGCTATTAATGGTGACTAATTAACCCCACAGAGACCACTAAGACATAAACAATGTATGCAAATAATATAACGATCTTACTTCTGTAGATGATGCAATAAGATGTTTAAAATACATTCTATGAATCCTGAAAACACCATATTAATTTAAAGAAACAGCATTAAATTTTTAGATGGAAATAATAACATTTAAGAATGCAACAGTGATTCTTAAAACTTTTTTTCAAAAGAAAATGTTATGCAAAAAAAGCATAAGAATTTCATAGAAGAAAATTAATTCCTATGACATTATTATAAGAGTATGCCTCAATATCTTTTGTAATTTCTAAAGTCACATTATGTATGCTTATAATGTTTTTTTTAAAATATATTTTTATTAATTTTTTACAGAGAGGAAAGGAGAGGGATAGAGAGCTAGAAACACTGATGAGAGAGAAACATCAACCAGCTGCCTCCTGCACACCCCGCATCGGGGATGCGCCTGCAACCAATGTACATGTCCTTGACCAGAATCGAACCTGGCCGACGCTCCATCCACTGAGCCAAACCGATTTGGGCTATATGCTTATAATGTTTACATGTATGTGTTTACTAAATACATTTGACCAACAATGACTTAACACATGAAAATATTATAATTTCACTCAGACAAAATTATTTACTTTTTAGCTAATTACATATCTATGAGGCTTTAGATCTTAGAATTGCAAACCATATAGTATAATCTTCAATCTCAATTTATTCTTATCTCCTGAGTTGTTTTCTATGTTAGAGATTAATTAAGTGTATGACACCACACACACACACACACACACACACACACACACACACACACACACACGAAATGGGTGAATGAGAGGAATGGCAAAGAAAAATTAAGATAGAGGAAAGAAGCAGGTCACTGTTTAAATCTAGACTCTGCTGTTTATTAGTATTTATCCTTAAGAAAGTTACATAACTTCATATGCTTCAGTTTTTCTATCTTAACTATTAAGATAATATATCATTTAAAGAATTATATGAAATTATACATATTGTATTAATGTGCTTTTAAACAGACCTTGGCAAGTAGTAAGAACTTCAGTGGAAGCAATTGTTAATATTTATATTCTTACCATGTAGGCTCTGGAGTCAGAATCTGGCTCTTTTGTTTATTAGGCTGTATTTAAAGACAAATTGTTTAATCTTTTTGTGCTTTCATTTTCCCATTTCCAAAATGGGGGAAATTTTAGGATAGTTAGGAAAATTAAAGAAGTTCACATACATAAAACTTATAATAATACCTGCTCCATGGGAAATGTTCAATGGATATTAGATTAACATCAGATTAACATGCAGATAGGAGGAAGAACCTACATAACTTTAATGGGAAGGAGGAGAAAAGAAAAATAATTCTATAGTACAACTTTAAAGAGAAATTTTATGGTTAAGGGTAGGATCATGTTAATATTCATGTTCATGTTACAAAATTGCATATGGAATTATGCCATCTTCACATCAGAAGAAGACCTTATAGGTCATTTAATCTGGAGCCTGGGATTTGCTAAAGTCACACAGTCGGTGGAAGCATTAAGACTAGAAAACATTATGTAACTCCTAGAGCATTGCTTCCCCCCCCCCCCTTCATTGTGTTGCTACTATCTGAGCTATTTGGGAACTTGTTCTATAAGGAACTTCACTTAGTTTGAGACCAACTAATCATGGGACCAACTGATTGAAAAAGGATTGGAATAGTTTTATATAGTTTCTATTATATAAATTTTAGAGGACATTACCTCTTCATTTGCTTTGTAGTAAGAGAAAAACTGAAATTACACGAAAAATAATTAGTTCCCTAGAAGCTATAATCTCAAATTTTTAATATTATAAACCACTTTTGATATCATATCAAAAGCAGTTCTGGGAAAAGCCAAGAAAGCTACCTGTAGGTACCTCTTGCCAAATATTATCCCAGTCACCTTTATAGGCAGAGAAGAAAGCATCTAAGCCACTAGGAGTGCCAGTATTATCTGCATAGTTTATATCAGGGTTTACTCTCTATATTGTACAATTATATGTGTTTGGAAAAATGGTTAATGATACAGCCTTAGCTTTTTTAATCCTTTCTTTGCATTTTCAGTGAAATAATATGATGTGCCCATGGCTTAATACATACTTCTGATTAGCAGAACTGAACAGTATCAGTAAAATAAGCATAATATTAAACATTAAATCCTAAAATGAGGAACTTTTAATAAAATATTTGGTAGGACAATAAATATTTGGTGAGCACTTTAGGCCATGAATTTATATCTCTGACACTAAGGAATCTGGCCCAAGAGAGTTTATGCAATTGACTGTTGTGTGCATGACGAAATAGTACTGGCACTGTTTTCACAGTACCTACCAAAGAACAACCAGTAGAATAAAAGTCACATGAAATCTATCCAGAGCTATTGGTAATTTTGTTGCTAAAAACAGGAAGAAAATCCAATAAGCATTAACCTGCCAAAGCAACATGGAAAGAAGTCCATCTGTGCTAGTGTTTCTTCTAGCAGAGGTTGTCAATGAAAACTACTATTCAAACCCCTTTTAACCTAACTTCATAAACATATTATAGTTATTTTCCATCATCAGCCAGATTCTTTATGAGCCAATACTATTCTTAGTACTTTAACTGATGCAGCATTTCACTATTTTGGTAGCTTGCTGAGAATCCTTTGATAATTTTTGTGTGCGACTTATCTAAATTTTTTCACATATTTAAATGTGTTTAAGAGTATCTACATTCCGTCCCTATTCTATTTATCTAATTATATCCTTCACTCTTCAATTACATCAGTGCTCAAAGCTTTTCTTTTTTTCATTCTTCAAAGAAATTAACATCAAGGGAAACGATAGTTCTCTAGAGCAGTATGTAACAGAATAGACCAAATTAGATAATCATAAAAGGCCCCCATGAACTCATGGTGATTCTGATACCCAAATGAAATCAGTGCCTGACTCTAACCATACTGTATTTTTACCAAGTACTTGTTATTCTGTTGGTACTTTAACATTTCCCTTCATGTCATTGCTTATGCCATAATCGTGATGTGCTAAAATTATATGTGGCTTTTAAGGCCTCCTTCACCATCTACTTCTCCATAAAGCATTTCCCTGTCTCTTGCAGTGAGAAATGATTTTTGTGGGAACATTTAAGATCTTGTCTCCCTGAAATCATCAGTTTGGCTCAACTAAACTCTTTTAACCTCCCTCCTCCTCCCCCGCCAAAAAAAGAAAGAATTTTTGCCTCCTCCAAATACTTCATATTAACTCTTATCATAGGCTGCCCACAGCATAGTTATTTGGGAACTTGACTTCTCTCTCTTACCAAACTGCAAGTTCCCCAAGGAAAGAGTCTGAAAATAACACTTATCTTTGGCACATTATCTACTTTCTTGTACATCTAGGTGTTCAGTAAATGTCTGCTGAGTCGATTTTAATTAGGCACAGATCCCTTTCAAATTCAGTTGAGCTATCTATGAACAAGTAAAGATGAAAGTATCTAGTAGTCATAGTAAAGCACAAGTTAAATAATTGTTTTTTTTTTTTATGGAGGAAAAAACCCTTTACATTGAGATAAATCAGAAATAAATAAATGTTAAAGTGGGCCTATGGGTATCTTATCATTAAAATATTTTCATTAATTTACAACTTTTAATTTAGAACTTTTTAAATAATCTATAGAAGGACAAGATAGATAATGAAACAGATGGAAAGATTAAAGTAATGTCCTAGAGAGAATAATTTGAAGAATAAGACCAAATTGAGTAGATATGCAACAATAGCTATAATAACTAAAGAAAGTAATAACAACTAACATTTAGAACATGTATTATTATGGACCATGGATTAGACTAACAGTTCTTTTGTATTTAACCTTTAAATATCACAACAACTCTTTGAGATAGACTTGTTTAAGGTAATACTATTATTTCCCTCATCTAAGCGTGAGAAAACAGGCATGGAAAGGATAAGTGGTTTACTCTATTTACCTTGGTACTTGCCAATAAGTAGTAGAGCCTGGATACAAACCTAGTGTGACTTCTGACCATAATTTTGCATTGACAGTAAATTTGGGATGTTCATCCACCCACCCATCTATCCAACCATCTGTCCGTCCGTCCATCCATCCATTTAATATACATTAAGGAGTATTATGTGAAAGACACTCTTCTGAGAACTAGGAATAAGGAATAAAACACACAGTCTTGCCCCTTAAGTAATTTTTAGTCCATAAGAAAAGCTAGACCAGGGTTTCCACTAAAACCTGTACTAAAGAATTAACTCTAGGTTGGCCAGCGAGGATCAGTGGTTAAGCATAGATCTATGAACCAGGAGGTTACAGTTTGATTCCCAGTCAGGCCACATGCCTGGGTTGTGGGCTTGATCCCCACTGTGGGGCATGCAGGAGGCAGCCAATCAATGATTTTCTCTCATCATTGATGTTTCTATCGCTCTCTCTCTCTCCCTCTCCCTCTTACTCTCCCTCTGTGAAATCATTTTTTTTTAAAAGAATTAACTATTGAAGAGCTAGCAATAAAAGGAATAGTGGAAGTATATTAAAGTCAGACGAAATCATATCAGAGGGTAAACAGAGTATTGCAAATTTGGGAGCTGCTGTACCAAGCTGAAAGCTTATTGAATTTGGTAGAGAGAGGCTAAATTATGAGGGTCTGCTAATTTGCTTATACTACAGTTAGTTAGATTTCATTGACAAAATCAATAGTATTTTATCCCTGCAATAAGAGTAGAGTGTTGGATTTGGAAAGGGTTGAAAGAATGCTAAATGAAAATAGACTTAATTTTATGGATTTAATTGTTCCAGCTCTTCTTCTAGAAAAAAATAATAAAATAAAAGGGAGCTTTATATAAAATCTGGTACAATTATTATATTTTCAATAATTCATTAAATAGCTAGAAAATTGCTAATACTATTGAACATTTTACATATGGCTATTGTAACCACAACTTTATCTGTATACAAAAAAAATATTAAGTTACTTGAAAAAAACTAAATAGTTTTGTAATTTGCTTTTATATTTAGAAGATGGTCAAAAACAAGCTATGGTTAGTGAACGGACAGAAGCCTTTACCACTGCTCGAAATTTATTGGCCTCTGGAGCTGATGCTATTGAACGGATTATGTCTTCATATAAAGAGGTACTTGCATTTCTTGTCAACTTGATTAGCATAAAATGTGTGAAAATCAAGCAAAATGTAAATTACAGATATAGTTAGTATTTTGAAAACATATATTTATCAAAAATTGCAAAGAGGCCCTGGACAGGTGGCTCAGTTGTTTGGAGCATTGTCCTGTACATTGAAACGTTACAAGTTCAATTCTCATCCAGGCACATACCTAGGGTGTGAGTTCGATCCTCAGTCTCGGTGGGTACAAGAGGCAACAAATCAATGTTCCTCTCTCAAATCAATGTTTTTCTTCGTATCTCTTCCTTTCTCTCTAAAATCCAATGAAAATACATCCTTGGGTTAGGATTTAAAAAAAGGCAAAGTGTATAATCAAGTTAAGGGAGAACAATTCCCAAATGTATTGCTGTTTTCACCCTTTAATTTTGACACTACCTATTGTAATTCTTCTTTTTCTGTCTATATATGACATATTTGTTTTTAAACTAAAAAGGTAAGTCCTTAGGTGTGGATTCTGGAGACAGAGTGCCTAAATTTAAATTCTTGCTCCAGTATTTACAAATTATGTGAACTTGATCAAGTTCCTTAACCTGTCTGTTTCCTCATCTGTTAAATGAAAATAATGATAGTGTTGACTTTGTCAGAAAACAATACATATTAAGTGCTGAATAAATGTTAAACTCAATAAAATTATTTATTTACCTTGCAAACTTTTACTCATTCTTCATGACAAGTTAAGCCTCACCAAACACATATAAAATGCTTGTGATTCCACCTTCTTCCTACTTTCCTTGCAGAGTCTGGGGCTTCCTTGTCTGTGTTCATAATACATCTGATCTTTTACCATTTTATAATTGTCTATCTTCTGCACCAGACCTTGAGTGCAAAGTAGGAACTGTCTTAACCCATCCTTATATTCTTAATATTCTTTTTAGTACTTGGATAATTGTATGTGGTCAATAAATATTTGTTGAAATAATAGTAATAAGACTATTAAGGGTTAAGATTAAAAACCACTTTATTCAATTGAGATATTACTGATAATATTCCCAAGGATAGTCAGTCTCACTATTAATTATTCCTATAACTTTTCTATCAATATAAATTGCCAGATCAGCATTATAAATTTAGGTACCTATTAAATTAGCCTTGAATAAACCATATAAAAGAGTTATAAATTTTGTGATTTGCTGACAAAATTTTTCAGTTTCATTATTAAACAATTTAATTGAGTTTGGATTTTTTAAACCAACAAAGTAAAACAGATATTTAGGGCCATATACCAAAACAACTCAATGAAAACATTTTTTTCCAAATAGTAATTTTGATCATCTGAGACAGTTTTAGGGATTTTTTAATATAACATATTATGTATCATTAAAATTAAATGACAAATAATTTTATCTATCTCACATTAACACTTTGCTATCTAAGTCACAGAAAGAATATCAATTAGTTTTTCAAGATCATCGCCAACACGATAAATAATTGCATTTTGCTTTATTCTGCCTGAATGTGCTTTAAGTCATAGAATGGTCACTGCCAAACAATTTTACTACTACTGTGACAGCATATGGAAATACTGTGCATTCTTTGCTAGCCCCAAAGGGTAACAAGGTTCCTTTTCAGAGTCCCTCTCTTATATTCCAAAGTAATTAACCCACAGTCACATTTTCGGGTTTTTTTTTTCAGCCAATCTTTGCCCACTCCAGCTTGCAGCATGGTCTACTAACTCATTGGCTCCTGCTTTTCTTTAATTGACCTTTACATTGGTTTTGGATTTTTTTTCTAGGCAGGATATATTTACTCAGATATCCTTTGAATCTATATTTTGTTAATCTTTAGCTCTGTTTTTCTCTACCTGTAAACTCAAGAAATTCTTCTAAGATAACATTTTAGAAATTACCCTTTAAATGGTTATAATATTAACATATAGAAATGCAATACGATCTAATTACATGTGATAGAGGATTTTAGCAATAACACCTACTTATTTACTGCTTAAGTTTTGCACACACAAAAATCTTACCTACATGTCAGCATTGTTGAAATATTTCACAATTTATTGTTTAAGAAGCATTCTTTAGTGGCATGCCTTGCTTGGTATCAATTTCCTTGTAAACATTTCTGTAATGAAATGGTTTTTGTGCTTTACTTTTCACTGAGAAAAGATGGTCTTGACAGGAGGTAAGTCACATTTTAGAGTACCTTGCTAACAAGATGTTCTTTTAATAGAAAAACAGCTGGAGATTCTGTCTAAATTGGACAACTGGCAAAATAAAAGCAAGACACCACTGGACTGAAGCAAAGATTTTATCTTGCATTATGTTACATTCTCTCCTTAAAAAAAAAAGTCATATTTAATGTTTTTCTTTGACCATTAAAAATAATGTGAATTGTGGGATTTAGACTGAAAATGATTGACGTTTTCATTGAGCTCATTCACAATATTGGTGCTCTAGCAGGGGTATTTTCTCTGGCCAACCTTAGGAATTTTGATAATCAATTTGTTTCAGAAACATTCATTTTATAATAAGAAAAAAAAGTGTTTTTTTCTAGTTAAAATCTTCCATTTTAAATTGAAGAAAAAATACCAAAATAAAGAATAATTATTTCTTTGAATGAATTTAAGCTTTTCACAAAATTTCTAATTTTCTGGAAATGAAAATTTTTTAAAAATATTTTTATTGAATTTTTACAGAGAGGAAGAGAGAGGGATAGAGAGCTAGAAACATCAATGAGAGAGAAATATTGACCAGCTGCCTCCTGCATACCCCCTACCAGGGATGTGTCCGTAACCAAGGTACATGCCCTTAACCGGAATCGAACCCAGGACCTTTCAGTCCGCAGACTGACGCTCTATCCTCTGAGCCAAACCGGTCTCGGCTGGAAATGAAATTTGTCATGAAATCGGACTAAATCAGAAATTTGACTGAAAGGTTTTTAAGTTTCACTAATCTGAAATCTCTAATTTTAAATCCTGACTTGAATGAATACATTTTATATATTTTATAATTCCAATCAATCTTACATTGATATCTTGCTAAATCTCTCTCTCTCTCTCTCATCTATCTCTCATTGATTACAGAGAGAAAGGGAAGAGGAAAGAGAGATAGAAACATCAATGATGACAGAGAATCATTGAATGGCTGCCTCCTACAACCCTCACACTAGGGATCAAGCCCACAACCTGGGCATGTGCCCTGAATAGGAATTGAATTGTGACCTCCCTGTTCATAGGTCGACACTCAACCACTGAGCCATGCTAGCTGGGCAGCTATGTTGCTCTCTTGGTAACATTTTTACTGTCATTTGCTTCTGTTATCAGATGTATTATCTATTTTTCATGAATAATAAAATAGGACCTTTGATGTTAAATCATGAAGCTTATATGATTGTACATTTATTTAAAAGTCTGTCTTGGGTGTATTAACTCTATATTATTTCTCTGCATTGGTTTTAGGTCACTGAATTAGCAGGCTATACCGCTCGAGTGTACAATATGTTTTGGGTATTTGATGAAGTAAAAAGAGGCATTTATAAGAGAACTGCTGTCGTGCAAGATTCTGAAAACCATAACAAGAACGGAGCTGTTATAGAGTTATCCTTCAATAACACGCTGGAAATCAAAGGTTTTAAACTGCTTTGTAATTGTGGACAGTTTTATAGATGTCCCCCATTTTTTCACTTTTTGCCCCCCTCAACCCAGCCTCCACCCCACCCTAGGCCTTCCCCAGACTATCGTTTGTGTCCATGGATTATGCATATATGCATATAATCTCTTCTCATTCACTTCATTCCCCTATCCACTGAGATTTGTCTAAATGCTTTTTGCTTTCAGTTTTCTGTATTTAAGTGTTTATGAACAGAACCAAAGTTCTTTAGATGATAGCTTTTAATTGTTACAAGGAACCAACATTTAGTTATTCAAACAATTATCCCCAAAGTTAGTGTTGCAATTTGAGGAGTGGTGACTAACATTAGTATAAAAATTATTATGGTACTTTTATTTAGGACAAAATTTCTAAAATTATTTTTAGAAACTGCACATATAGCAGAATGAATTGTTTGCTTTTAAGATGAACAGAACTAGAGCTAATGTTCTTCATTCTGTGTTTTAAAACTTAAGTTTGGTTGTCCTGTTTTTTAAATTCTGTAATTCTGTGTCTTAATTCCTTTTTTCAAGATTATGTTTATTCAGAAGAAAAGTTAATTTAGAGAAATAAGTGGTTATAAAGACGATGACTAGGTTACATCAGATAGAGTTTGGCTTTGCTCTCATGATTTTGACACCAGATTATTGCAAAATAAAATTTTTGATAGAGATTTTCTAAATAGAGTGTCAAATATCCCAGTATGCATTAAACTTTGCTTTAAATATAATATATATATATTCCATTTATTTTTATAATTTATTACTGTGAAGTATCTTTATAATAAATCTGTCATGCTACATTATACTTTAAGATATTTAATTAACAATAACATGGGATGAATTTTGTAACTTAAAATGTTCTTTATCTCACAGGAAAAGTTATTGATGTGGATCATGGAATTATTTGTGAAAATGTTCCGATAATTACACCAACGGGAGAAGTGGTGGCTTCCAGTCTAAACTTCAAAGTAAGATGATATTCAAGAATCTTCTGATTGTTGCCATCACACTAATACAAAACAACTCAGAATTCATATACCTTATGTTAAATACTTGGAGGAGCATATGGACAGGAGGGGAAATCAAGAAAGGTATGCACAGTGGCTCAATTACAGAAGCAGTTATTTCCTCAGAAAGCAGAGAAAAAGAGAAATTTGATTTCTACCGCTTTATTGTTAGGTTACATATCAAAATTGTAGTGCACTCAGGAAATTTCCTGAAAAACATTATCTGGAAATAAATTTTTTTTATAGGAATCATTTAAAAACTACAAGCCTGAATTAAAATAAATTTACTAAAATATAAGGTTAAAGGTCATTAGCAATTTTACTTCTATTATTACAGATTCTCTAAATTTAATTGTGTTTTAAATAATCACATCTTCTGTTAGAAAAAAAATCAGATTTGTGGATTGGAATTTTAGTTTCTAATAACTCTGTTGAGAATAAGAGTTATTACTTAACATTTTATGTCTTGAAGATGTAAAAAACAGTGACTAAACCAGAGGCCTTTATTTAAGGCACTGTAAAATTCAGATATTTTGGAATTCAAGTACAAAATAATTTGCTTATAAGCATTAATGACTGTAATGAAGGCAGAAGAGCTTTAGTTCAAACAAAGACACCATTGGACTTGATAACAGAATTACAAACATGACAATACATGTGCTAATGCTTTTAGTATGGATTTTGTAGTCAAGGTTTAATTATTAAAGATGGTATTTAACAATGAGTAAGGGAGCTGGAAACGGATAAGTACTGAACAAGGAAAATTCTGTGTTAATAAATAGAAGAGAAATTGTGTTTTAACTACAACTGATGAGGCTTTATTTTTCCATTTATAGACCTATAGAATTCTTTAGTTATTTGAATCTGAACATGATAACAGTTAGGTACCAAAAGTGCACCATAATCTTAAATAAATTTGAAATAAAACATTTGAAGAAGCATAGATAGAATATTTAATTACTTATTAATAGTTTAGCAATTTATAATTTACTAGAGGCCCAGCACCCAGTTGAAATTGCGCGAGGAGAAGCTCCACCTCCTGCAGCCGCAGGGCGCTGTTCGGAGAGGTGCTCCATGCACCCTCTGGTGACCATGGGTAGTGATGCCATTGATGCCTTTTCCCTTCCTTCCCCGTTGCCCCGAGCTAACGTGCATGAGATCACCTGAATGAAACTAGGTCCCCGTGTTGCATGGAAATTACCTGATCCAGGGAGGGTTGGAGTCATTCACTTCGGGAAAGGTTCGATTTAAATGAAGTCCCTGCTTAGGCGCCTGCTGAGCCCTTTGCCATCCTTTCTGGCTGTTTCCTTGGAGTGAAATCATATGGTTTTTCATATGAGTGAAATCATATGGTTCTTAGCTTTCTCTGACTGATTTATTTTACTTAGCATAATATTTTCAAGGTTCATGCATGTTGTTGCAAATGCACTATTTCATCCTTTCTTATGGCTGAGTAGTATTCCATTGTGTATATGTACCACATCTTCTTTATCCAGTCCTCTACTGTAGGACACTTTAGTTGTTTAGGTTATGTTTCATAATATCAATTTTTATTGTTCCACTTATTAAACAGAGTAAGAGTCTTAAATTCTGCCACCTACTAATTACATAATTGTGGACATCATACTCTTCCTGTAAAAAAATTCAGAGCTTAGTTTATTTTTATATGAAGTAAATTTTAAAATAATCTAATAAATGTGTTATATATTTTAAAGTGCTACAAAGATGTTATGGTACACTTTTATAATAATTGTTTATTTTTTACTCTGATAGGAAGTTTTATTTGAAGTCTCAGATCCCTAAAATATAATAAAAAGTTGTTTCCTCTGCATGGATTGACAAACAGGTTTTTAAAGGAAAATGTTCTCATCCTTTTGTTGGCCTTCCAGAATTAAAAAAACACACAAACATTTGGAGGATAAAATTTAATAAATGTGGGAATCCTTTGTTAACCTAATTTTTATTGATTTTAGAGAGGAAGGAAGAGGGAGAGAGAGAAAAACATCAATGGTAAGAAAGGATCATTGATTGGCTGCCTCTTGCATGCCCTATACTGGGGATTGAGCCCACAACCCCTGACTTCCTGGTCTGTAGTTCTAAGCTCAACATGTAGCCAGCTGAGCAGGGAATTCTTTATACTTTATATTCTCTATGTCCTAAATATCAGAAAACATGCTTAAATATGAATGTAGTATAGTTAAAGTCTCCTATTATGACTCAAAATGTGTTACATTTCTGAGAATTCCTAACAGAGAATGACCCTATTATTTTGTGAATTTATCTTTTGCTATGGCGATACTTTTAAAGACATCATTTGTGAAGTATTTATGCTTCTACAACATTTAACTCCCTTAGTCCTCTTTCTAGTCAAAGAGCACAGCAAATCACAAATTAATTCTTGCTGGGTTTTCCACAGGATTTTCCTTGAACTTTATTGTATCAAAATAGCATTTTAGTTTGGCTACAATTAAAGAGAAAAATATCTATATTTATTTTAGAAAAAAAAATATCTAATAGAAAAGAAAATATTTTTTTAGAAAAAAAATCTAAATATTTTGTAGACTCAAGCTTGCTGACTAGTTGCTTCTTGTCACCCAGGCTCAACCAAAATGTCACCTCCTCAAAGAGAACTTTTCTGACCACCGTCTTTCCATAATAAATTTTCCTCTTTTGCTGTCATAATAGCATTTATCATTACTTAACTTTTTGTTCACATTCTTAGTATTGTCTTTCCCATTGGAATGTAAGTTCTATGAGAACAAGGACTTTGTCTTGGCCAATACTGCATCCACTGTGCCTACAAGAATGTCAGGCACATGGTAGATATTCAATAAACATTCAATCAATGTTTGCCAAGGAAATGTCTAATTATTTAGACAGAATATGAATCTGAACCACTTTTGCTTTAGATATACTTAGTATATACATTCCTAGTTCCTTTATCTAACCTCCATCCCAATCCTTTTTTCTTTCCCTTCCTCCCTTCTTTCCTCTCCCCACTATCTTTTTTCAACAAAAAGATTTCAGCTAATGGTATACACAGCAAAACACTAGGATAGACATTAGACTGGTTGGTCCCTTGTACTGATATAATGCAAGTTATATAATGCTCTTTCATATTTGAGTTTTCAATATTATGTATTCTACATCATTGATATTTAGATATTTGTATTCATACTCCACAAAAATATATCTACACACATACTCTAGTTTCTTTCTCTCTTACTTTCATATTATATTCATCTTTAAATCACTAATTATAAATATAGTTGTTCTTGAAGTAGATGAAATTTTTAAATGGTATTTCTTTTCCTTGTTCTTCACAATACCCTTCAAATATCACACTAAGACAACTTCCCAAGCCTACTGAGTAGAAAGGTGATTCATGATATTTAAATGTTTAAATTTAAATGGTAAATAAGATGAAAGATTCTAAGGAGAAATGTCTGATTGATAATGGATAAATAACTTGTCTTACTGTTATATCTATACAACTGCATATATATTGTTATATCTATATATAAATACATATATATATTTACATATGCACACACACATATATATGTTTTAATACATCCCTAGACATAACACTAAATTATAACCCTCTTGTTTTCTTTTTTCTTCTGTCTTGTTTTAGTAAACATATTTTTTTTTAATCTGTGAATAGAGCAAAACTGGAATAAATTTATCTCTCTGATTATTATCTCTCTGATTTTGTGGTTTCTGTAACATTTCAGACTGCTGAAGTACAAAATTAATCAACCCAGCTGCTCTTAGAATAACTGTGCTTTATAGCTAATAACTCCAGCTGACAAATACAATGAAGTTGTATTTCCATTCAATGTAAAGTTAAATAAACATTAATATAAACGAAATGAAATTGAATATATTTTAATTTAAATGTTAACAGTGTTTTATTTTCCATGTAGTTATGTTTCTACATATGTGTATATATCTGATTACAAGGCCCCAATTAAAATTTTGGAAAGCCAAATGATCATTTCAAGCAGATTCACTGCCTTTGAGATTCATTAATTTATGATACTTTTAGTTCAGGGCATAGTTAAAGCCAAATTTGAGACTGTTGATCCTGATTTATTTTTCTTTGATTCCTTGCCCATCCTAGGTTATCATGTGTTTGAAAGTTTTTTTTTTTAATAAATCACTTTTAAATGCTGCTAAAGAAATTATTTTGCCATTTGTAATTTTATTCCTTACTTTAGGTACAAGAAGGAATGCATCTTTTGATAACTGGTCCCAATGGCTGTGGGAAGAGTTCTCTCTTCAGAATTTTAAGTGGGCTCTGGCCTGTGTACAAGGGAGTCCTCTATAAGCCACCTCCCCAACATATGTTCTATATTCCACAAAGGTAGGTTAAAAAAATTATATTACAAGAAATAATTTTTTTTTTTACTTTTTAATTCTCTTGATTCTTTAGGTTCTTCAGTTTGTAATCTTTAAGCATTTTTCACTAGAGAAGCTATTAAGGAAATAAAAATCCAATTCTAAAAGGGATAATACTATACTTTCAGGACAATATCACTTCTGTTCACTTTAACATTTGACTGGTTATAATGAACATTCAAAGGCTATAGATGTTAATGTGAAGGAATAGCAGGCTAGTCCAAAGAATAATTAGTTCACCTTAAATGTCAGATTATCTCTTCTCACAGAAAAAATAATACTTGGATATTATACTAATTTTTTCATCAAGCTACTTTCATTCATATGTTCAAAAATTGTTCAGTTATGTTTAAGGAGCCTCTACCAAATAGTTTTTGTTACATTTATGCTATATGATTAATTAATGGTTTGAAAAAATATTCAAAGTAAGCATAGAAATATTAAAAAGGAACATGATTTCTTCTGGTCTTTAGTCATCTTCCTAAAAAATTTAAAAGTATCTAAATGTAAAGTTATACTTGCAAATTTGCATCATTCATTGGGAATAAGAGCAAATGAAATCTGAAGTATAGATATACCTTATACTCATCTAACCCATTAATTTTTCCATCTATCATCACCCTGGGTTAGGTGGATAACACAGAGTACTCTTATTATATTTAGAGGACTGTTGTGTGGAGGCCAATAGAGCACCTAGGATATAGTATCAGAGAAAATATAAACGTTACATGATGTATGGTGCTATCACATGTCTTCTTTGCCTCCTTTCCTTTGTCAGAAAGTGTTTGTACCATCCTGCCCATGGGTCTAAATTTTAGACCATATGTTATAGTTAGGCAGATGAGGTTTTGTGGAATTTTTTATTTAAAGTAAGGTCTATGGTAGTAGCAGGAAGCTACCTGACATGTAACAAAATGAAACACTACATTGGCAGTAAGAAAATATTGGATATAAGCAATATCATGGATACTCATGTTTAACAGAAAGTAAATGACCATCTTGTGACACCAGAATCATATTCTCTGTTTGTACCTTAAAATCCTTTGGGAGACCTTCTGGAGCAGAAAGCTAAATTATACACCGAAAGTTTAAGTTTCAAACATTAATGTGTTAAGTAGACTGATTTTAATTTTTTATTTGAGTAAAATAGGATTCTACTTTCTTAATAAATCTTATGCTTTCAGCTATTTTAAATTTCATATGTAAATTGAAGGATACAGTTCTCAAATATAGCTGTGACTTAAGCTAGTCCAAAGATATAGGAAAGTACATAATCCATGAAAGTCATCCTTCAGAACTGAAGGAGAAATAAAGACTTTCCCAGACAAAAGCTGAGGGAATAAAGGTGAACATATAGTCAAATTCAGAATACTGTAATGTTGGATGGGTTAAAGAACAAGAGTATTAAAAATAATTATAACACGTATAATTTGTTAATGAATACAAAATATAAAAAGAAGTAATTGCCACATTAAAAACATAAAAGGGGAGAGTAAAATGGTAGAGATGTTTGTATGTAATAACAATTAAGTTATTATTTTTAAACATGTTTTAAATGTTTATTATTTTTAAACATGTTTTGTTATGTTTTATATAAGCCTCATGGGAATCATAAATCAAAAGCAGGTAGTAGATTCACAATAGGTCAAGAGAAGGGAATCAGCACATGCCACTACAGAAAATCACCAATTCACAAAACAAGGCTACAAAGAGGAAGAAAGGAACAAGAGAACTACAAAATAGCCAGAAAACAATAAGTGGGATTAATAATTCCTTAACTCTAATAATTACTCTAAATGTAAATGGACTGAATTCTCTAAAAAAAAAAAACAGGCATAAGGTGGCTGGATGGATTAAAAAACAAACAAATACACAATTACATACTACCTACAAGAGGTTCATTTCAGCCTAAAGGACAAACATAGACTGAAAGGAAAGGGATCCAAAAAGCTATTTTATGCAAATAGAAACGAAAGGAGAGCAAGGAGAGATATTTTTAGACAAAATAGACTTTAAGCCAAAAATGGTAACAAGAGACAGAAAGTCATTAAATTATGATAATGGGATCAATTAATCCAGAATATATAATAATTGTAATATATACTGACCCAATATCAAAATACTTTAATATATTAAGCAAATACTAACAGACCTGGAGAAAGATCATTGGGGACTTCAATTCCCCACTTTCAACATTGGGTACATCATCCCAACAGAAAATCAACAAGGAAACATCGGACTTGAACCACACTTCAGACAGAAAGGACCTAACAGACATATTCAAACAGTTCATCCAACAGCAGCAGAATACACATTCTTCACAAGAAAAAGCATTTGAAAAAATACAGCATGCTTTCATGATAAAAACTCTTAAAAAAAAAAAAAGTGAGTATAGAAAGAACATACTGGATATATAAAAGTCATATGCCACAAACCCACAGCTAATATAATACTCAACAGTGCAAGATTGAAAGATAGGAATAAGACAAGGATGCCTACTCTCACAGTCTTATTCAACATAGCATTGGAAGTCCTAACTGGAGTTATCAGGCAAGATAAAGAAATAAAAGACATCCAAATCAGAAGGAAAGAAGTAAAATTGTCTTTGTTTGCAGATGACATGATCTTACATATAAAAATTTTTAAAGGCTCCACCAAAAACATTTAGAACAAATTTAGTAAGTTCTAGGATACAAAATTAATATATAGAAATCAATCATGTTTCTATACACAAGCAATAAACTATCTAAAAAGAAAATAAAGAAAACAGTCCTGTTTACATTGGCATCAAAAAGCAATAAAGTTCATCATAAATTTAAGGAGGTGAAAGGTCTCTACATTGAAAACTATAAGACGTTAACGAAAGAAACTAACAAATGGAAAGAAATCCCATTTTCATAGATTGGAAGAATATTGTTAAAATATCTATGCTACCCAAAGCCATTTATAGATTCTATGCAATTCTAATGTTATTGTTAACAAATATATAAAAGAGAAAACTAAAATTTGTGTGAAGCTACAAAATACCTGATTAGTAAAAGCAATCATGAGAAAGAAGAACAAATACAGAGACATCAATCTTCCTGATTTTAAACTATACTATAAACTTATAGTCATCAAAACAGTATAGTCTGGAATAAAAATAGACGTAGACTAATGGAACAGAATTGAGGGCCCAGAAATAAACACTGTCAGTTAATATTTGACAAGGGAGCTAAGTCTACTTAATTAAGAAAAGATAATCTCTTCAATAAATGATGCTGGGAAAACTGGACCACCACATAAAGAAAAACGAAATTGTTCCCCTATCTTATACCACTATTAAGAATGAACTCAAATTTATTAGACTTGAATGTGAGACCTGAAAACATAAAACTCTTAGAAGAAAACATGGGAAATAAACTTTTTGGCATTGGTCTGGGCAATTATTTTTTGGATATGATATCAAAAGCAAAGCAACACAAACAAAAATCAGTAGTGGGGCTACATCAAACTGAAAAGCTTCTACACAGCTAAAGAGGTAATAAAAAGAAAAGAAACAGCAACCCACAGAATGGGAGAAAATATTTGCAAACCTTGTGTCTGATAATGGTTAAATATCAAAAAAAAATTAAAACGTCATATAACTCACATTTATATGTATAGTGGAATATTCTTCAGCCATGAGAAAGAAGGAAATCCTGCCATTTGTAACAACATGGTTGAAATTTGAGGACATTGTGCTAGGCAGAATAAGTCAGACAAAGACAAATACTGTGTGATATCACTTACTAGTATATGTGTGATCTAAAAAAAACAAACTTGTATAAACAGAGAAATGAAACGTTAATGCTAGGGTCTGGAGAGTGGGGGTGCAGGGAGATGTTGATCAAGAGTTAGAAGATATATAAGTCCTGAAAATATAGTGCACAGCATTATGATTATAGTTAAAAATGACGTGTGGAAGTTATTAAGAAAGTATATCTTCATGTTCTTACCACAAAAAAGAAATGGTAATTATGTGAGGTGACAGAGGTGTCAGATAACATTACGTGGTAACCATTTTGCTACATATGTGTATTCAATCAACATTGTTGTATGTCTTAAACTTATATAATGTTACATGTCAATTTGATGTTAGTAAAATTGGAAAAATAAATAAAAATACCACTGAACTGTACACTTAAAATGGTTAAGATAAAAAATTTTTATGTTATATGTATTTTACTACAATTGTATAAATGGGGGACAGGGTCATAAGAATGTGCATAAGTCCAGTTTTTGCCCTCAGAGAAACCTATGTTATTTTGCAACAGACATAAATCACAGGGAAATTTCTTCTTAGTTATGAAATTTACTCTTGCCTAAGCAAAAGGTCAACTACAACTTAGTTAAGAAGAAAAATAAGAATTAGAAATATTTTTGAAGACTAACAATGTTTCTTACAATTACTGTTAAAGGTCATTTTATCTTGATTATATAGCTTTGGAAACATGACAATGTGTGTTTATGTTTAGAATCTTATATCTTGCAGAAAAGCATAGAATTTATTTAAATGTACATGTGAACTAAGTGTCTAAATGTAGCACTTATTTTCATATTCTAAAAGCTGTTGAGTTTTATAAGTAAATTTGAAAATAATGTTATAAGTTTTTATTATTTAAAAAGAAGCTGCTACAACCTATTTCAAAATATTTGTCAGTATCTAATATTAAAGATTTCAACTTAGGATATTCTCATTAATGAATATTATTTGATATTTTATTGCATTAATTGATAGCAGTGAAATGTTATTTAAATGCTAGATTGGCAAAAACAAACAAACAAACAAAAACACCTATAAATTGCATATAGAATTTAGTCCATGTACCTACATAATAAACTTCATAAGTCATAAACAGTCTTTTATTTTAAAAAAAAATCCCTGATTTTCCTTTTAGTGATTGAAAGACTTCCTTGTAGAAAATAGATCTCTTTATGCAATAA